ATTATTCAAATACTGATGACACACTGTCATGTACACAATCACACAACCTGTATTTGGTATACACCACTGAAAGGTTTTACAAGGGTAAACAGTACAGTTTGTTGCTGTATTGGGAATAGGTTGAAGATTATCATTTGACAAACAAAAGAGAAGTTTGAAGCTTTTATGCCCAGATACAGCCATTAGGACATGGAATACTTTACCACTGGATCATGAATTAAAAAAAGCATACTTTATTTATGGTGGAATTGTACAAGTATTAAACAATATATCAAGATATAATGAAGCCAGTTCCAGATTGGGGAGCTGTTATTTGGAAAAAATGGGCATAGGGGTCCAAATGACGCCATCCTATTCTGAAATGTCAGAACAATAGGCAGATTTTAGAACAGGGAGAGAAGGACAGATATATAAAAGAATAAAAAGGAGGAGGACAAAAATTGCAGATATGTGAAAGATCTAATAGAACAAAGAACAATAATTGAAGAAAGGCATAGAGAAAATAGAAAGTTTTAGGAAAGGTACTCAATTGACAAGATGAAAACACCAGTGAAGATGTACACATTTACAGATGAACCACAAATGATTGGAAAGAAAAACCAGTAAACAGACAGACAGAAAGATACACACATGCTAAACTTATAAGTACACATAGACAATTGTATTAAAGACTGCCCAATATTGTAAAGACAGGCTGATTTGAATATGAAAACAGCCAATACCTGTTTGCAGTGTGGGTTCTCCATTGCCTACAGAGGTGCAATTCTAACTAATAACAAGCATTTGATTCCTACCTGTCATATCTGAGGCTTTGAGGGCTGGCTTGCAGCTGAAAAAAGGGTGCTGCATGGATAAATTGTAAAATAATTGCAATTTATTCACAATGTTTGCAGAAAACTAGATGCAGAGTTGTAAAACATTGTTCCCAAACAACAAGAATGAGTCTCAGAAAAACTATACGAACATTTGTAATCTGACTTATTCAGTCACTGTAAATCTTGCCTCGTGATGTTAACCCCTGCAGAATACAAACACACTTATGGTTATGAATTGTCTGACTTATGATGGAAAATATCTCGGATGTTAATTTGATTTAATTTCACCCTATATACTTTGATACACATTTAGGTGAACTGGCACACGACGAACGACATTATACACTGTTTTGCAGGCAAAAATGAGATATGGCCAATATCCTGCCTGTGTTATGATGTCACTGGTTAACACAGGAGTATTGACCTGTTTTCTAATTGCACACCAATATTCACTAGTGATCTCATTCTTTGCTTTCCACTTAAAGCAGTGAAAATGTTTTTGTTCAGTTATTGGAGCTCATTATAACATTCTTCGCACAGCAGAAAAGTCAGTCTTCTATAAAATTTCAATTCATTTTCAATTGTCTAGGTATGGTGCTGAAAGGAGGACACATTAATATAGTTGCAAATTCTTCAGCAAGAATGCCAATCTTTTTAATACAAGAACCATCTGACAGCCTAAATTTGGTTAAACTTGTTAACTATATAAACTTGAAACAATGTTCATATTACTGAATTATAAAACAAAAACAAAACCACATATTTTTCCTTTTATCAAATTACCAATTAATTTTCATAGAGGAAACTTCTGTAGATTGCCAATGTTGGATCTCTTAAAAACTATTGTTAGTTAAATTACAATTTTCAGAGTCAACCCCCAAAGTTCATTTTCCTACTGATCCATCATGAAGCTTTTACAGGTGTGCCCAAGAAGTACCTTAACTGATACCACCCATTTTCTGATAATGTCAGCAACTGGACAGCAACATTCTTTATCTGAATAAGTTGTAGTGGGTGTAGCAAGCAAGTTGCGGAGCTAGTTCTGATGCTATAAAGCTCAGAAGTATTTTCTGTAGTCATCATAATTCAATGACAACGATACACCCTTTCTCAGATTTGCAAATCCTGGATCACTTAGCACATCATCTGATGGGCTATAGTTCAAATTACCACTCTTGGAATGTAAGCTTTTTATGTGACACAAACAAAAATGCCATTATGTTCAAAAAGCTAATGCAAATTACATTATGTATATACCAGCCCAGTGAACCACAGAGATGAAGCCTCGCACACATGAGAGGAAATTATTAAAATTAAAGTGGTGGCAAAGTCATAGGATTGGTAGTCCAGAGACACAGGTAAATGCTGTAGGATCATGAGTTGAAATCTTCCTGGTAAAATTTAAAATCAAGTAATAAAACTGGAATAAAAAGCTTATTCCAGTTTGGTGACCATGAAATTATGTCAAATATCATTAAAAATTCATCCAGTTCACTATTCCCTTCAGGGAAGGAAGTTGGCCATCCATACTCTGTATAACCTCCATATGGCCCCCTACTAAACTCCCTGTACACCCACAACTGTGTAGCCAAATTCCAAATGAACACCATCTACAAGTTTGCTGATGAAACCATCATGGTAGAACTGATACCAAACAACAATGAGTCAGAATACAGAACGGAGATAGAGGGCTCAGCGTCATGGTGCAATGAAAACAATTTGTCTCTCAACATCGGCAAAACAAAAGAACTGATCATTGACTTCAGGAAGAAAGGAGGAGAACATGTCCCCAGCTACATCAACGGAGCAGAGGTGGAGAGAGTCGAGAGCACCAAGTTCCTAGGAGTGACGATAACTGACAACCTGTCCTGGACTTCCCACGTTGATGCGACGGTCAAGAAGGCACAACAACGCCTCTTCTTCCTCAGGCAGCTTAGGAAATTTGGCATGTCCATAAGGACCCTCATCAATTTTTACAGATGCACCATAAAAAGTATACTATCCAGGTGCATAACAGCCTGGTACAGCAATTCTGCCCATGACTGTAAAAAACTACAGGAAGTTGTGTGCACAGCCCAGCTCATCACAGAAGCCAACTTCCCATCCATGGACTCCATTTACACTTCTCGTTGACGGTGCTGGCAGTCTTTCCACAGCAAAGACTTTTCCCATCCTGGTAATGCTCTACTACAACCTTTTCCGTCAGGCAGAAGATACAGAAGTTTGAACACACACACCAACAGGTTCAAGAACAACTTCTTCCCTGCCGTCATTAGACTGCTGAATGGACTCTCTAACTTCAAATAATGTTGATCATGCTAATGTTGATCTTGCTTTGCACACCTCCTGTGCAGTTGTAACCTGTATGCCTCAGTCTGTCTAAGCACCCTATGATCTATGTGTCCTTGTTTGCTACGATCTGCCTATACTGCTCGCAGAACTAAGCTTGTCACTGTACTTAGGTACAAGTGACTTATTAAATCAAATTAAATTAAATCAAATGATTTTAGACCTACAAAAATGTTAAATTATGGGGGTCTTTTTATGTATACTGCCCTGTAAAATGGCCTAGCAAGCCATTCAGTTCAACAGCAGTTAGGGATGAGCAACAAATTTTGACCTAGCCATTCAGAGATAGTAGGAACTGCCGATGCTGGAGAATCTGAGATAACAAGGTGTAGAGCTGGATGAACACAGCAGGCCATGCAGCATCAGAGAGTAGGAACTGCCGATGCTGGAGAATCTAAGGTTGCAGGAACAGCACCTCGTATTTCACTTGGGATACCACCCGAAGGTTACAAGAACAGCACCTCATATTTCGCTTGGCAACCCTGCAGCCCAATGGTATCAATGTGGACTTCACAAGCTTCAAAATCTCCCCACCCCCGACTTCATCCCAAAACCAGCCCAGCTCGTCCCCGCCTCCTTGACCTGTCCAACTTTTGTCCCATCTATCTGCTCCTCCCACCTCACTGACAAACCCCCACCCCCACCTCCTACCTACCAGCATCATCCCCAACTCCTTGACCTGTCCGTCTTCCCTTGACTGACTAATCCCCATCCTAACTCCCCAACTACACTCACCTTTACTGGCTCCATCGCCGCCTCCTTGACCTGTCCGTCTCCTCTCCACCTATCTGCTCCTTTATCCACCTTCCATCCACCTCCACCCCTCTCTCTATTTATTTCAGAACCCCCTTCCACACCCCATTTCTGAAAAAGGGTCCAGACCCGAAACGTCAGCTTTCCTGCTCCTCTGATACTGCCTGGCCTGCTGTGTTTACCAGCTCTACACCTTGTTATCTCTGACCTAGCCATTGATGCCCACATCTCACGAAACTATTTTATTTAAAAGAGAAGCCTGTCTTTCTCATAATTAGGTTCTGGTCTTTATTATGATATTGTGGGTTGGAGTTAAGATGCAAACGGCATCTCTAAGCAAATGAATGATCAACCTGGGGTTTTCTCCCATGGTGCTGGTTTAGAAGTAGCACTGAAATAGAGCTGGAAGCACAGTGTAGATTGGGCCTATCTGTACACAAATTTGTCTGGAAGTGATATTAAGAAGAAAGACAGAAACAGGGGAAAGAAGACATACTTTAAAAAAAAGCTCACTCATTTAAGGTGAAATTATTTATTGCACATTCTACAAGACAATATAATAGCTTCAGAACAAGTTGCAGAATGTAGGACATCTTGGACTTTTAACAACAGCATACATCAGTCAAACTCCTGACTCAATAGTATGGAAAGATCAGAGAAACCATCATTGACACTTGGCCTAGATAGTTTACTTCACCTTTCTTAAAAAAGGAAAAGATGGAAGAATGGATGGACTTGAACTATTAACTTAAAAAAACACAATTTATTATTGTCTTTCACACTTGGCATTTTGTAAAGAACACTCCATTCAAAATGATCTGAATGTGTTCTAGACATGAGACAAGACTTTACAGGAAGGAAGTACTCTACAAGTACATAAAGAAGGAAAGACAAAGGTGGCAACAAGGGTTTCAAATGAGAATTTCCGAATATAAGGCTTTGGCAGCTAAAGGCATAACCAGCAAATTAGGTCTCACATTTAAAAATGGGGATGCTCGAGAGGTTATAAGTTGAGGAACACACATAACAGAGCATTGTAGGGCTGAAGGACATCACAAATAAAGCTACCAAAAATATACTTACATATATTGGCACTTCATGGCAGCTCAACTCCATTGCCAGTGCATCTGCATACAGAAAGAGAAAAATTGTTTATATTTTAAAATTAAGTATGCAGAGAGACTGATATTGTTGTGACATGAATATATACACCAACATTTAAAAATATTGTGCCCCTGTCCCTAAGAAGGGTAAGAAACAGAAAGAGTCACTGGGCAAAATTTATCAGAGAGCAGGAGTGAACGAAAAACCAAATTATCAGTGCCTTAAATCAGCTGTTATTCTAATAATGACACATTTAGTTATTCCCTCAAAAAGAGCTGTCATTTGATTAATTACACATTTAACACTATTTCATAATGATATGCAAATACCTGTTCTTCAAGCTACACTTTACATTTTCAGACATTTTAATAGCCTTTAATCTTGTGGCTATATAGACGCTCACCACTGACTGCATAACTCCTTTTCATCACTGATCATACAAAAAATCTTCCAAACCATTGAATAATATGGGCATTGGAGATAAAATTGGGAGAATTGCATGAGATCAGCAGGAAGGAGGCTCCTGATTCAAGAGTAGTGTACCTTTCCCCAGCAAAATGTTGAAGGATGAAGTGAGCTAATTGTGTGGCAAGAAGCCTATTTGCATGCTTTAGCATCCCCATTATTGTGAATCCTGCCTCATTATTATGCAGTCTCCCATTCTCCCAACTGCCAGATAGGAATTTGATGATAACAATTCCGAACATGAAATTCAGAACAGAACCTGAAGACTCCAGCTTGCCACGTGATCCTCTGGGCGTCCATCTTGGACAACAGGCACCAACGTCTTAGGACTCACTCCATGGACAGTGACCGCAATCATCCCTCATCTATCAGAGCCTCCAAGACCCTGTCGGCAAAGCTGGATGGGTGACAGTTCACTCTGTTTTGTTATGAATGACATTGATACAATAAACATGGGTGATCTTAGTTCTGGAGATCAGAATGTAGAGTCAGTTTGGGTAGAGATACTAAACCTTTGTTGACATAAATTTGTAATAATAACGGACCACAAACCCCTGCTAGATCCCCTTAAAGAAGACAAGGCAGTACTACCCATAGCTTCAGGCTGAATTCAGTGGTAGGCTCTTATAGTAAATGCATATAATTACAAGTTTGAACATCGTCCAGAAGCCAAGTAGCAAATGCAGATGCATTGAGCCACTTCTCACTGGCAGATACACCACTGGTGGTACTGCCACTGGAAGAGTCCGTAATGGTTTTACATTTTCTGGACACACTTCCAGTCACAGCTGACAATATCAGAGTTTGGACACAAAAAGATCTGGTCCTGGCAAAACTGAAACACCTGGTGGTAATGGGGGAAACAAAATTTCTAAAGGAGAATGGTATTCGTCATACAAGGACAGCTCCATACCATCCATCGTCCAATGGTCTCACAGAAAGAGCAGTCCAAACTTTGAAGACAGGCTTAAAGAAACAGCCTACAGTTTCACTAGAAAGCAAACTGTCCCGATCGCTATTTGATTATAGGACCACATCTCATGCAAATACAGGGATAGCTCCAGCAGAGTTGCTAATGGGAAAAGACTCCATACCATGTTAAATCTGATCTATCCGCACCTGGAAGGGGAGGGTGAAATGGCATCAGGAACGCCAATACCAGATACAAGATTCTGCTAAGCAAGAGAAATAGTTTACTTCAGGGGACGAGGTTTGGTGTAGGACCAGAGGAATGGGCCTGCATTTGTAAGAGGCATAGTCAATGCAAGGTCAGGTCCTGTGACATATAAAGTTCGGGTAGGTGCGACGGTCCTGAATAAGCACGTGGACCATATGAAAGCTGCAAAACTCACAAACAGTGCGGGAGCAAAATGTGCCCAGCTCCTCAACTGCCTTTCCAACTGTTCCGGAACTCATGTGTTCTCCCTCTCCATCAGGCATTGAAGATACCTCAAATCTGAGATGGACACGGCAGATGACACCACCTCAATGCCTTTGACGCCAAAAGAGGAGAATGAATTTCTTCTGAGACGCTCTGGGCATAAAAGGTGAGCTACTGTGCATTATCCGCCACCTGTATCAGAGGCAGAGTTGGAGGAATCTGACCCAGTGCTGAAACGCCCCAGGAGGAGCTACAAAATAATGAAATTTTATTGTCACGTATACCTGACTACAGGAGCACAGTGAAAAGTGTACAGAGTCGCCAATCTCTGGCACCATCTTAGAACACAATAGTTAGAATTAAAAGCAAAACTTGAAATTAAAGAAACAGAAGCCAAAAGGAAAAGAAAATGTCCGGATCACCCTCATTTCCACTGCTGCCGCCCTGAGTCTTCAGCCAGGCTCACCAATGCCGCCTGCACTGGACCCACCAATGCTGCGGTGTTGCCACCACTACAATCGTGTCTTCACTACCGCCGTTGCCATCACCTTGTGTCTTGTGCCTCACCACTACCTGCACCAGACCAACAATGTCAAAGTTGCCATGCACTGGCACCATCACTAACCACTGGGCCCATCTTGCCGACACCGCCACCATCTTGGAATCAACTGAAAGTATCAGAGCCCACAACCTTCCTGAACAAATGCAAAAGTGTAATCCTCAAAACTAGCACTGACATCAGAGCCACTGTTTGACCATAAAACCATAAGACATAGGAGCAGAAATTAGGCCATTCAGCCCATCGAGTCTACTCTGCCATTCAATCATGGCTGATAAGTTTCTCAACCCATTCTCCCCATAACCCTACATCCCCTTGACAGTCAAGAACCTATCTATCTCTGTCTTAAATATACTCAATGAAAATTGACGCCAGTGCCACCACCACCACCTCCAGTCCTGTGCTGGGCACAACTACATCGAAGTTGCCAGGCTCCGGCACCATCTCTCACTGCTGGGACCATGCCAATGCTACTGGTTCCGCCGCAGCTGAGCTTCCCAAGGGCAAAAAGGTAAGAGAGCACTGTAGAGAAAAGTGGAAAGAAAAGAAGAAAAAAATAGAAAAAAAAGAGAAGTGGACGGAAGAAAGCAGTGGATGAGCAGGAGCCGGAATGCTGCTACTCTGCCGTCACCACCTTGCCAGGAGTTTCCTGCCCTTTCTCTTTCATTCATTTACAGAAGATGGGCATCCCTGGCTAGGTCAGCATTTATTAGCATTCCTAACTGCCCTGCAAAAGCTAGTGATGAGCTGTCTTCTTGAACTGCTGCAGTCCTTGAAGTGCAAGGGTGATCACTGTGCTGTTAGTGAGAGATTTCCAGGATTTTGACCCAGTGACAACGAAGGAGCAGCAACATAGTCAGGATGGTATGTAAGGTGGAGGTGAACTTGCAGGCATGTGGTGTCTGTCTGCATCTGCTGACTTTGTCCTTCAAGGTGACAGAGGTTGTTGCGTTTGGAAGGTGTGTTAAAAGGAATCTTAGTGAGTTACCAGGCTGACCTTGTAGAGTGTACACACTGCATCCACAATGTGTCAGTGATGAATGGAGGGAATGTTGAATGTTGCAGTTGGCTTTCCAGTCAAGCACGCTGCAATGTCCAGGATGGTGTTGAGTTTTTTGGGTGTTGTCGGAGCTCTACTCATTCAGCCCAGTGAAGTGAATTCCACCATAGCCTTGAATTGTACCTTATAGATATCAGACTGGCATTGGGGAAATGGGCAGTGAGTTACTTGCCATAGAATTCCCAACCTCTGACTTACTATTGGAGGTCATGGCAAGCTAGTTCTGTTTCTGGTCAATGGCAATCCCCAATGGAGCATTCGGTGATGGTAACGTCATTGAATTTCAAGGGGCCTTTGTGTGGTACAAATACTACTTGCCACTTAAGAAGCCAAGCCTGATATTGTCCAGGTTGTGTTGCATGTGGACATGGACTGCTTCAGTATCTAAGGAGGCATGAACGGTGCGAAACAGTGTGCAATCATCAGCAAACATCCCCAATTCTGACTTCATGATGGAGGGAAGGTCATTGGTGAAACAGCTGAAAATGATTGTGTGTACGACAGTACCCTGAGGCACTCCTGCAATGATGTGCCAGAACTGAGGACAACAATTTTCAATAACAACCATCTTCCTGAGTGCTAGATATGGCTCCAACCAGTGGAAAGATTGCCTTTCACATTGCAAGTGTCACTTGATAACACTGGTGATGGCCACTTCCATCACTTTCAGATGATCCAGAGTATATCAACAGGGCTTAGATTAGCCAAGTTGGATTTGTTCTGCTTTTTGACAACTTGGCTAGGAGTATGGCTAGTTCTGCAACACCAGTATTCAGTATATTACAGGTATGTTTTCAGGACCTATTGCCTCTTCAGTATCCAGTGTGTTGGTATCATGTGAAGTGAATCAAATGAGTTGAAAACTGGCATCTGTGATGCTGGGGAACATAAGGAGGAGACTGAGATGGATCATTCACGAGGTTCTTCAAGCTGAATGGATGCAAATACTTGTCTTCACCAGTGTGCTGAGCATCACGGAGAATAGGGGTATTTGTGGAGACTCCACTTCCTGTTACTTGTTAACTGACCACTGCCATTCACAACAAGATGTCGAGGACTTAAATCTTATCCAACACAAAAACAGAAATTGCTGAAGAAACTCAGCACGTCTGACAGCATTTGTGGGAGAAAACAATTAATGTTTTGAGACCTGTGATTCTAGACCTGATCTGCTGGTTGAAGAATCCTTTGCACTTTCCATTGCATGCTGTTTCTGCTGCTTGCTATGCAAAATCTTGTGTTGTAGCTTCACTAGGTTGACATCTCAAGTTTAGGAATTTCTGGTACAGCTTCGAGCATACCTTCCTTCACTCTTCATTCCACCATGGCTGATCCCCTAGCTTGAAGATAGCAGTAGAGTGGGAGGTAAGCCAGGCCATGAGGTTACAGGTCGTGGTGGGATACAGTTCTGCTGCTGATCTCTCATGGCACCTCATGGATGCCCAGTCTGGATTGCTAGATTTGTTCAAGATCTGTCCCATTAAGTAAAGCGAAAGTGCCACACCGCACACTGCAGGCAATTCGCAATGAGAATTCCTCTCCACTATAATTGTGCAGTGATCATTTCTACCAATACTGTAATGAATGGTTACACTTTCCGAATCCACTTCACAGAACACTGCACCCCCACCCTCTCCTTCACAGAAACTCCACACCACCATGGCCCCCACCTCACAGGGATATTTCTCTCCCCCGTTCATGGAGACAATTCCATCCTCCCTCACAAAGACACTTCCCCCCTCACAAAGACACTTACCCCTTCACATAGGGACACTCCCCCCTTTTCACTGGGACAATCTTCTTACTCCCACCCTTTCAGAAACACTCCTGCTCCTTCTCACTCCCCAGTCACTGAGGGACACTGCTTCCTCGCCCTCTGAAATTTAATCAAAACTTCAGAATTAGGCAAATCAACATGTCTTCACAAACACATATAACTACAGATACAGAAAAATAACTAAAATATTAATGATGCACTGCCTGTATGTAATGCACCCTGAGCTCAAAGGGTTATAGAGGGGTTGATAAAGAGAGAGATTAATAAAAACCTAGTTATGTTGGCTCTCTGTCATCATATAATTATGCATTACAAGGGTCTACCACTAGAGTGCATTGCCAATCCATTCAATAGTGGAGCCCCTCAAAGCCTTTAGGAATACAATATATTACTTACATTTTATTCCACTGTGCCTTTGAGCCTTTAAAGAGATTTTGTTTCTGCAAGTTATGACTGTAAAAACATGTTTCAGGACTTTAAATTTGTATAATTTTTTAAACGTTTCAAGTATCAAAATGATGTCCAAATTGACTTTTACATCAAATCCAGGAATCAGGTGCCAAATTTTTATAATATTTATCAATTTAAATAACTGAAATAGAAAAAAGTAGCATTATGAATGATATACATTATTTTGTTCAATCATCCCTTGAATTGTGTACGCAGAGTTCTCTAAGGGGTGCCAGAATACAAGATTGCAAGGAAGTTTTGGTCTTTTTAGCACCCAATTAAAGCTAAAACTTTTGCCAGGCATTCAGAAATGAAGACCAGAATCCTCTTTCCATAAAGACATTTCCTCTGTTAAAATAACAAGGATACACAATGTAATTACAGCTCAGTAATGCCATCTGTGAATGCAAAAGGAAATGCTTTTAAAATATTTTGCAAATTATCAAGGAGTTTTGTGGCTGAGGTAACAATATTTCTTACCTCTATAAAGCCTGTTTCTGACCGTGTCTGTTTAAGAAACCTCAAGGATAATTTTAATCTTATGGAGATTGCTATTACATTGCACACTTGGAAGACTTGATTCTAAAATGCAGAAAAAAACCCATGTCTGATTTGCAGAGGACATTTATGAATGATTTCCGCCTTCTCATAGCTACATGCTAGCAAGCAAGCTCAGATTTAACAACAGTCTTGAGTTCTTGATCTTGATATTTTGTGTAAGTACATGGACCTCTACAATATGTGACCAATCAACAATGGATGTTATTGAGCTAATGAATATCTGGTATAATTAAGCTAGGAATGTGGACAACACACAGCTTAACGTCTGAAACCATCATTCCCTGATAACTACAGCTTTTGGGTGTATCACCTGCTCAGATGAGAATTCTGACATGCAGGATGCCCTAAAGGCATTCCAATCTAGATTGTGTAATTTTCAATGCTGATAAAGAGGCACCTGAACCCATACAGGACATTAAAAATCACAACAAAAACAGAAGTTGCTGGAAAAGCTCAGCAGGTCTGACAGCATCTGAGAATTAAAATCAGAGTTAACATTTCTGAGGAAGGGTCACCGGACCTGAAACGTTAACTCTGATGTTTCTTCACAGATGCTACTAGACCTGCTGAGCTCTTCCAGCAACTTCTGTTTTTGTTCTCGATTTGCAACATCTACAGTTCTTTCAGTTTTTATTAAAAATCTCATCTTGGACTTCCACATTACATGATATTACGCAGAGAATGAACCAGGAAAGCTTGAATTTGTGCTGTCAAGTTCTTTTTGCTAAACGTATCAATTAATAGTAACCAGTCTAGATTCATGAGCCTAGAAAATGAAGGTCAGCGAGCCATTCAAATGCCAATCTTGCTTTGTTAATTCCTGTCATCTAGATGAGCATCTTCCAGCAGGGATGATTGAACTGCAACTGTGGAATTTTGGGTGACTTTCTCAGTTCCTAATCCAGCGATGCTGCAGCCAATTATGTTCTCTCTCTTAATGTGCCTAGCTGAAATAATTTAATTCAGCAGAGACTGGAAATCAAAGTTGGCACCTTCCTGGTTTTGTATTTTTCAATGTATGTGGTGTAAGAAGTTTGTTTGAAGTCTGGCAAGAAAATAATACATCATTATACAGATAAGTTTAGAATGTTTCCAACAAAAGACCAAAATATGTTTTTCACTTCCACCAAAGCAGACTGATTGAAGAATAATTCTTGTTGTACGTTTATTTAGTCTTGACAATTTTGGTTTGAAACTTCACAAACGCCAGAACATTAGAGCTTAAACAATCATTTTAGAGCTTTATTTCTGCATTGTTACATTTTAATGCAAGTTTAAAATCATTAGAAGGCGTGGAATGTTGCCACTGTTACTAACTAAACAAAACAATGCATACTGTGTACTTTTTAACTAAAAATATTTATAGATCTGTTAGACATATTCACTTTTATTAAAAAAAACTTGATTTTTCTTTTGCTTCTTGGTACTCAATGTAACACCTGAAATCACTTCATCATAGTAGCTCCTATGCTGCTCTGTAATATATCCTAAATTTTGTACTTAACAAAGACATTTATATTTATATATAACAAACATCTCAACATGCTTTATAGGTGCATTATAAATCAAAGGATGAAACTGGGCCTCAAAAGGAAATATTATGCCAAATGACCTAAAGCTTAATAAATGATGTAAGATTTAAGGAAAATGAACAATAAGTGCTGGAGAAACTCAGCAACTCTGGCTGCAAAATCTTCAAAGAGGAGTCACATTGGACTCAAAACATTAACTCTGTTGCTCTCTTCACCGATGCTGTCAGAATTGCTGAGCTTCTCCAGCACTTTCTCTTTTTATGTCAGATCTCCCCATCCACAGTACTTAACTTTTTAGTTTAGGAATTAAGGAGTTCTGAAAAGAGGAACGTGTGAATAAAGGACAGAGAGGTGAAGAGAAGGAATTCCAGAGCTTTAGGCAACTTAAGGCATGGAATCCAAAGTTAAACCTATTAAATTCTGGATGCTCAAGAGGCCAGAATTAGAGGAGCACAGATATCTCACGTGGTTGTGCAGCAGGAGTTCTTTCATGGAATGTGTGCATCACTGACATGGCTAACATTTGTGACCCGTTCCTAATTACTCTTGAGAAAATGATTCTGAGCTGTCTTATGGAATCACTACAGTTTATCTGATGCAGGTAATTCACTGAACCGTTAAGAAGGGAGTTCCAGGATTTTTGCCCAGCAACAATTAAGGAATGGCAAATGGTTCCAAGTTGGGATGGCAGGTGGCATGAAGGGAAACTTGCAGGTGGCACTGTTCTCATATTCCTGCTCATCTAGGTGTCAGACACTACCATTTTGAAAACAAGGGTAACAATTTGAAAATCAAGATGTTGCTTGATCAGGAGCCAACGTACACCCACAGGTTAAGTTAGGTCATGGGAAGCAGAGTATAGAATGACTTCATTTTGTGTGGGTAGAATATGAGAGACCAGCCAGCAGAGTGTGTTGGATCAGCAAATTTATAAGTGACTTACGAAGACGGTTTTTGTTTTACATTGCTTGGAGAACTGAGGTTTTGCAGGATTGTGGAAAATGGATTTATTTCAGGTTTTCTGCAAATACCTGCAGTGGTTTCTTTAAAGTCATTGAAAGTTCACTGGGGATATTGGAGGCTTTTTAAACAAGGTTTTCTGTAAAGTACCTGATTGATAATAACTGCTTGCTCTGCTATAGACCCCTTCTGGGCTGTTTTGAACAATGACTGGCTTCAAGATCTCCTTCTTTGCATGGTTCAGGAGGGATTCCTGTTCAGAGGAAAGGTGATGACATAGTTGGTGGCAAGGCAGTGGCATACTGTTGCTAAACTAGTAATCCAGAGACGCAAGCTAATGCTCTGGGACTTGGGTTCAAATTCCACCATGGCAGATGGTGAAATCTGAATTCAATAAAATTTGTAATGAAAAGCTAGCCCAATGGCAACCATTGCAGATTGTCATAAACCCTATAAGGATCACTGATGTCCTTTAGGGAAGGAAATTTGTCACCATGCCTGATCTGTGTGTGACTTCAGACCCACAACAATGCAGTTGACTCGAAATGGGCCTAACAAACCACTAAATTCAAGGGATAATTAGGAATGTACAATAAATAATGGCTCAGCCAGCCATACCCAGATCCCATGAACAGATTTTTGAAAACGCTGTTTTGGGGAAATGCCTGATAAGAACAAGACAAGTTGGAGGAAAGCTACCCAGCTGATCTCTGCCAGTTTTGAAACGAAAACCCTCTTGCTGAGTTCAGGGTGAACCCTATTTGTTCTTTTGAACAGCAATTGAAGAAACATTTCAAAACTGTATTTTCTGAGCAAGCTGTGTATGTAAGACTTCAGAGACACCATACATGATTCGTGACTTGACCAATGAGCCAGAACATGAAAGCAATACATTCCCTTTGTCTTCAATAAAAAGCCTAAGTGATTTTTATTTTCAGATAATTAATGGCCACAGAGAAATCCCATTTTTGCTTTCTTTCTGTGTGTATGCATGCGTGTGCCTGTGTGCATGTGTGCGTGCGTGTGCGTGTGTGTGTTTGTGAGTGTTTCAGGGATATTCAGAGAGATGAACATTTATTTTTCAATATTACTAACTATACGTTAACCAATAACTGCACATTTACTGAATAAGTAATGTTTTGATAATAAATCATAATGCTTGTACATTAAGAAACTTGGTTGATAGATTTTGTTGTTTAAAACCTAAAAAACATGTTTAATTGGTCATCTTGGTAACTAGCAAAGGTATTTTTAATTTATGTTGTGAGACATGGAGTCATGACACTAGAGCAATGGTGCACTCCTCCAGTCCCCAACAGTCAGAAAGATATGCATAAGTAATACAAATGTAAGACAGTGATGTCACGGAGTTGGAAAATGACAACCTTGCTGATGGCATGAATTTGTGGCTAGAAGCTCGCTTAGGGCTCAAATGTTACAAAGGTTGAAAATAATCTGGTTTAGCGTCAAATAGTTACCAAGAAAAGAGATTGAATCAGTAGCGAGGAAACTAAGAGTTTGGAGTGGATCTGAGAAAATAATTATAATTCCCTGATTCTTACATTGGGAGACATTTCTGCTAATGTCTACTGGATA